TTTTTTTTTTTTTTTTTTTTTTTTTTTTTTTTTTTTTTTTTTTTTTTTTTTTTTTTTTTTGCTTAGTCTGGTTGATGAGATTCAACACGTCTTGATGGAAATTTCTGAGAAATTCAAGGAAAACCAATATTTTCAAGAAAATAAAAAAATGAAAACCATATTTTAAATAAAGAAATAAACGTATCTGTCTTCATCAAAGAAATTTCCTTGAAATTTCTCTCAACATGCTCTTGTCCTTAGCTTTTAGACTTCAATATATTTTTTTAATTAGGAAAATTAAATATATATTCGAGATCGTAAATTCAAATTTTCACATACTAAAAAAATATATTTATTTAATTTTTATTTTGATCGCATTTTAAAAAAAAACGTTGCACAACCATCTATCTGATAGTACATTAAAATTTAATACGTCATAATAATTATGCCATTATTTTTATAAAATATTATTAGCACCATTAATTAAAGACAAATAAATTATCTTACCCTTTTCTTACTTTCAGATTTTGCTTTCAATTTTGCTTTAAATTATTTAAAAATAAAAATATTATAAATAATATATTGAACTAAGAATTCAATCTTCCAATAATTGCCCTAACAAAATTACCCTAAATCATTTCTCATTACATCAGCATAAACTAATATAATTTAATTTAATTTTACAAATATTTAATTTATAAGTTTTCATATTTGTATTTATTTGATAATTTCACAAATTTTTTAATTTTGTATTTTTTGCTGACATATTCAAAAGTTTTTAAATAATTTATCTATTAAATTTATAAACTTTAAAAAATATCGAACAAAGTCAATGAATTATTAAACACGATAAATACGATCCTATTTTTTTTTTCTTTCAAAATGAATCCTTCTATTTAACATTATTTATTACATTATATTTATGTTAATTCTAAAGAAAATTATATATATGATTTACAAAATTGTATAGGAATTAATATTATTCAAATATTTGTTTAAAATACAATTCATGGAGATTATGACGTCAAATTTACCATTTTTGAGATAATAAATACTTTTCATTTTTCTCTCTTTTTTTTTTTCAACTATCATGAAAACGACCAACTCATCGTGTGCGATCCGTGTTTGGAGTGTGACAATACATTTTTAAAGTTTATAAATTATGAATTCGTTAATATTTTAATGGGTCAAATATTTTTTAGCGTCAACTTAATAATAATATTAAGCATATCTTAACATAACAATGTGTATCTTTCAACACTTGTACCAATAGGTCGCTATCGAACAATAATAAATATAAGCAACTCTCTTAATACACTATATATGTACACATAATTTTAAGTCACATTGCTTCACCAACGATACCTACTTAGGTTCACGAATGAGTATAACCTATGCTTGTACGAGACGGCATATTTAAGTCATTGTGATTTTGTATTTGCCTAGAGACAATTGGCAGTTGGGAGGAACTTTGTTGAGAGACTTTGTAGTGTGAAGAATATGAGAGATACACTTGTGAACACTTTGGTTATAGTGATTGGCTACCACTAGTGGATGTAGGGGATTTTCTTCTTTCTGAACCACGTAAATCTTTTTATCTTTGTTTAATTTCTATTCGTGGGTGTGTGAGTGCAATTGTTGATCTTGCTTCTGCTCTCCCTACAAAAATTGGGTATCATTGCATTTTTTGTTGTAGCATTCAGTACAATAATTGATATCACAACATTGAAGGTTGTGGCATTTCGGCACAATAAAGTACATGAATGAGTATAAACTGTGCTTGTACGAGATGACATATTTAAGTCGAGGAGCTACGGAGGTACGAAGTTTATGCAACTCTTAAAATGTGTATGTCATATGCTTGAAATATCCTTTTTTATTTATTTATTTATTTATTTAGGAATTCATTTGGATATTTGTATAATTTAATTAATATTTAGTTTAGTTGCTAATTTAAATTAATCTTTTTATCTTTGTATAATTTAACAGTCATAAATTAAGAATATTGAATATTGATATTTTTATTTTATGAAATTTTCTTGAATATTGATTATTTCTTTTTTAAGCAAACAAATTGATTGTTTCAAATATAGGATTATATATAGGGTTTTCTTTAAAAAAATAATAATAATAATAATTAAGATTAAGATTATTGTTATTATTATTAGATAAAATATATATTTATTCCGAATTGGATTCAAAATTGACGGGTTAGGGTTTCCTCTATTTAATCCTTAATACTTTAGAAACCGTATCAATATATTCCTTTGATTACGTTCCATTTGGATAGACATCACACTGAGACCGAGTTAACTAAACCTCTAAGTTGATTTATATGGTTTTGTATAATCAATAGAAAAAATATTAACAAAATACAATTATATTCTATTTAAACGAAAAATGGAGGAAAGAGTGAGTGAGTAAAGATTTATCCTCTAAACGGGATCAAGGGTAACTTACCTAATCAAATTAACATTTTTAGAAATTATGTTGAACGTTATTTTATATTTGGTTTATGAAATATTATTGATTTATTAAGATATTTTACCTTATTTTAATAGAATTATATTTAAATATAAAATAATTATTAAAAATAGAAAATAAAATAAAATTGAGGAGTATTTATAACAATTTTTAACAATTTTTGGCATATATTTAATTAAAAATAAAATAAAATAAATATCCTACGTCTGAAAACCACGTTGTACTTGGAAAAAAAGAAATCGTCATAAAAGAAAAAAAAAATTATTTTCCACATAATCACGAAATCTGATTTTTCCCGTATAAAAGAGGGCGCGCTCATGGCTCTATTCGTTCAGTCTAAGAAGTTGTTTCCCGGTTTGACAATTCCTCTGCGCTTGAAATTCTCTCTTCTTCTAGAATATGGAACCCTCAGCCACCATCAATACTTCTCTCGACCTGAATTTCAATCCTCCGCCGTACACCGATGACGAATCTCCGGCCACTTCTACTCTTACTCCACTTAAAGCAGAGGTCGGTCGTTGACAAATTTAATTAAACCTCCAATTTACTTTTCTAATCACAGCACTAAATACTTAAATCAGTTCTTCATCATCTTGCAGACTCCTGCCGTTCTTTCCGAAATGTTGAATCGGATGAGTTCGGAGAATCAGAAGCTAAATCAGATGCTAGGACGCGTCGTTGAGAATTACAGTCTTCTGCAAAATCAGGTGATCCGTTTGATGTTCAAATCGAGGAAGCGAAAGACAGGTTGCGATGGTTGCAACTTCAATCGGAGCGGATCTGATCAATATTGTAGCTGCTGTAGCGACGATGATTCGTGTTATAAGAGGCCTAGAGAAAGCAGTAAGCCGAAGGTCATGAGAGTTTTGGTTCTGACGCCAGTTTCCGATTCCAGCCTGGTACGTAACAAATGCAATACGCATTTTAGTTTCACGATTATTTGATCTAGTAAATTTTCGCGTCCGTGTATTCTGTTGTGATTTTATTTGATTTTGTTGTGAAGAAACTGAAATGGAATTATTAGTTGCGTCCGTTTCTTGCTTTTGTCAGAATAATTTCGTGATAGTGGAACTCTATGTAGTTTGACGTGAAAATTTATGCGGATTTGAAAAGGAGTATTAATTCTAAATTTGTAGGTTGTGAAGGATGGATATCAATGGAGGAAATATGGTCAAAAAGTCACTAAAGACAACCCCTCCCCTAGAGCTTACTATAAATGCTCCTTTGCTCCTAGTTGCCCGGTGAAAAGAAAGGTAATTTCCTCGAACTTTCTTCTGTCGCCTTATACCTTTCAATCAACCTATTTTTCTTCTCTCATTAATTTTTCAACTCTTTTGCACTGTATTGTATTCCATACTATTTAGATTTCTTTCCATAAAATCCACAAAAATCGCTTCTCTAATACTTACCAACTAATAGATCGGCTAAGTTCTAGTTTGATAACAATATTGTTAAATGATTAAATAACAAAAATTCGATAAAAAATCAAAAGGTTATCAAACTCATCAGAACTTGAGAGGAGGAATTTGTTTTGGATAGTCATAATCTCCTTTTTTTTTTTTCTTCTTCTTCTTTGAATTCAACTTGAGTGTTTTGTTTTTTTGTTTTGTTTTTTTGTTTTGTTTTGTTTTGGGGGCAATATTATAGGTGCAAAGAAGTGTTGAAGATCCATCCTATTTAGTGGCCACTTACGAAGGAGA